CATTCGCCTTCTTGGCCGCCAGGGCACATTGCTGGCTCATGGTCATCCTGTTGTCCACCAGGACTCCCAGGTCCCTTTCCACAGAGCTGCTCTCCAGGAGGTCAGCCCCCAACCTGTACTGGTGCATGGGGTTATTCCTCCCCAGATGCAGCACTCTACACTTACCCTTGTTGAATTTCATCAGGTTTCTCTCTGCCCAACTCTCCAGCCTGTCCAGGTCTTGCTGTATGGCGGCACAGCCTTCTGGCGTGTCAGCCACTCCTCCCAGTTTTGTGTCATCAGCAAACTTGCTGATGGTATACTCTATCCCTTCATCGAGGTCATTGATGAATATATTGAACAAGACTGGGCCCAGTACTGACCCTGAGGGACACCACTTGTTACTGACCTCCAACTAGACTCTGCACCACTAACCACCACCGTCTGAGCTCTATCTGTAAGCCAGTTTTCAATCCAGAGGTAACCTCTGCATCTGATTCCACTCCAACTACCTTCATGGTACTGTACATCCCCTCAGATGTGACAAGAGGTGCCTTCAGATCATATACAGTGTCATTCTTAGGCACATCAAGGCTGATGTTCTTAGGGTAGAAAGTCCTTGCCAAACAAGCCATACTCAGTTTGTTGTCGTATAGTTTGGGTTCCTTTGATTTAAGCACACTAACTTCTGGGGCAGATTCTTCTTGAATCTCTGAAAAAGAAACGTCATTTTGGGATGACTTTTCTGCATACTTTTCTGACAGCTAAATCATCAAGGTGAATTCCTTTAAGGGAAGGACCTTGAAATGAGGAAGGGAACTTTTAAGAATACAACACAAATGATCATATCAGTTTTGAATTCATAACAATTTAGATACTAAAATGAACATTTACTTCAAGGGTAGCCTTACATGCTTGTAACATGATACATACTAGGAGATTTTTTTTTTTATTATTATTTATTACCAAAAAATCCTTTCCCTAATGAGGCTAAAAGGCTTAACACACAGGGAGAGAAGACAGTTTGTTATTCCACTCTAAAAAGCTGTTCCAATGGGTCGGATTACTTTCAGATACAAAATAATGTTTTCATGCTCTAGAAAAATGAGTCTGTGATGTACAAATTCTTCAGAGGTTAATTTTGCCTAGTATTATTGCCTCTTTTTCTGTTCTGCCCCTGTTCTGCTAAAATTGGGGGATGGGAGGGGAGAGGTGAGGGGTGGTGATGTTTGTCCCAGAAACACAAAATGGATAAGGCTGGAAGGGATGTCAGAGGATTGTCAAGTCCTAATGTCCTGCTCAAAGCAAGGTCAGCTAAAGCACATCCCTAAGGACCATGTCTAGTTGAGTTTTGAATATGAAGACTCCACAGCCTCTATGGGTGACCTGTTCCAGTTCTCAGTCACTCTCACAGTGAAAAACCTTTAATTATGTTTAAGTGGAATTTCCTGTATTTCAGTTTGTGCACATTTCCTCTTGTCCTGCCCCTGGGTACCACTCAGAAGAGTCTGGCTTAATCCTCTCTACTTCCCTCCATCAGGTATTTATATAGATAAGAAGTCCATTGTGGGTGCATCTTGTCAGGTCAGAAAGACTTGTGTGTATGGGGTTTATTTAAATGTTCTTTTAGCCTGATCCTCATCAGCTGAGGAAGACCTTGGTCTTCCTTGCTCTGGACTTTTCCACTGACCTCAGGGGCCTGGAATTCCTGAAGGAAAATCTTATTGATAAAGAATGCAACAAAGGTGGCATTGAGTACTTCAACCTTTTCTGTGCCCATTGTCACCAATTTTCATTCCTATTTAGCAGCAGGACCTTTTCCCCATGTCTTCCTTTTGGTGCTGACATAACTGTGGAAGCTTTTCTTGTTGCATTTCCCATCCTGTACCAGATTCATCTCTAGGTGGGCTTTGACTTTCCTATCCCCATGCCTGTGTGCTTTGATAGATTATCTATGTTTTTCTCAGGTCATCCAACCCTGCTTCCAGTACTTGTATATTTCCTTTTTATGTCCGAGTTTTGCCAGGAGCTCCTTGTTCATTCATGTAGGTCGTCTGCCACTTTTGCTTGGCTTCCTGTACATGGGTTCTTAAGCTTGGAGGAGACAGTTCTTGAAAATCAACCAGTTCTCCTGGACCTCTCTTCTCTTCAGGACAGTCTCTCATGGTTTATTTCAGGGTTTCGCTAGCAAGGTGCTGCAGGGGCATCCTTTGCAGAAGAAGGTCATGAACTGCTCTGTGCCTGTCACAATGGGTTTCAGCTGGCACTGAAACAAATAAAACCAACCCACCAGGTGTCAAAACTCAACCAACCAGAGGAGCATATGGCATCTCTGCTCAAATATATTTAATAGAGGTTGCTACCTGCCAGGGACAAAGGAAACAAAAAGGGCACTGTGATGGATGCACCCATTCAGACTGAGTGAATGATACTTTTGTTCAGGCATCACCAAAAGGTAGACCTGACTGAAATCAGCCCTGCTGTGCAAACCGTGAAAACTGTGCTAGGCCATATCTTCTCAGGAACTGAGGAATCTAAGCCATGTATTATCAGGACCTAACAGTACCAGCCTGAGCTGCGACTAGACAAAACTATTAACTGTTACATCTCCACTCCCGCACATACACCAAAGGGGGGGTTGACAATGAGTCAATCACTTTACGCTATAAATATCTGTAGCCCCACAAGCCCATTAATCTCCCCTGTACAGCACTGCAAGGCAGTGATTTCCCCCTTGAGCAGGGTTGCCTCTCACGGTTACTCCTGGAGGCTGAGAGACCACTTACTCAGCATCTGATATCTATAACAAGGTATGCAACATTTTACATCAGGCCTAAAAGTATATTGTATATATATATATATAATGACATTTATATATCCAGCTATAGCTTAATTCTTAGAAGTGTAGTAAGTAGTAGAGCCATCTAATCAACATCTAAATTATCATTTAAATTATAGTTGTCAAATCATTGTTAAATCACTGTTTAATTACCATTCAATTATTGCCTAATCATCATTTGATTACCATTTAATTTTCATTCAATCATCGTTTAATTACCATTCAATCATCGTATAACCATTATTAAAATCCTTTTAGTGAACCCCACAATGATGATTTCTCTTAATAATTCATCTGCGACAGAGACCTGAAAACAGACACAGGAGGAGACATGTGAGTACACATATGAGGACACAAAAGACAGGAAAGGAAAGACATGAGCGGAGACACACAAAAAAAACGACACACGGAAGGGGACATTGCTGGTGAGATGACTGGATCTGCTCTGTTGGAAAGAGGCAGTCCATGCCAGAACAAGTAAAACCCTTGAAGTGAGTGCCTCCCGTGGAGGAACACATGCTGGAGCAGGAACCCTCCCAAAAGGAGAGTGGCTCGTGGAGAAGCCACTTTCCTATGCAAGAGCGGGTAAAACCTCTGAAGGGACTGTGGCCTGTGGAGAAACCCATGCCAGAGCAGAAGGGGAAATGAAAAAGAAGCAAGGCACAGCAGAAAGAAACCATGAGGAACATTATCTCGGCCTCCTGAGCTGTTCCTTGCCTCACCAAAGGAATTGGGATGGACTGAGTACATTGTATAGTGGAAACAAGAGACTCTGAGATTGCAAGGTCGGAGGAGAGGTGTTGGACTCAATTTGAACCAGGGGAAGGGTGCTTCCCTATGTGTTTGCTTAGTAGTCAATGTATTTTTGTTTCTCAGTATCTAAATCACAATTAAAAATCTATATTACTAGACAATAAATTAAAGGAATTGAAATCCCTCAAGATAAGACTGTTTTGTCTGTGACACAGGGAATTCTTCCAAGAAGGACCCTGAACAAACCAAAGGAGTCCAGCTTTGTGATCCAGCTCTTTGCATTGTTCCTTCCTCTCTGAAGCCCAAACTGACCCATGGTCACTGCAGCAAGGACACTCCACTTTGAGGGCTTATGGTACTTCATTTTTATATCGGTTACTGCCACTGTTGTGTTTTTTTCTCTCCTCCTTTTTGTGATTTATTTTTCTTCAGTCATAAACCCTTTTCATGATGGTTTTCTTACTTTCTCTAATCTAGTTTGTCTTACTATTTAACCAGCTGACTAGCTACGTTTGAGATTGCTTGTTTATTTATTTATGCCTGCTTTTCATTTTCTGTGAGTGTCTGGGGAATACCTCTTGCTAAAGTAAGTAGTTTGCTTTTCATTTGAGTTTTACAAATTTATTTGATAACTTTAGTTAATGCTGAAAGAAAACTGCAGGAAATATTTAATCTTGAAACTCAGTCCTGAGTTAAGGAAGAAGAGGGGAAGTATGGGCAGGGAAGTTAAAAGGAGATGAAGGAATTTTGCGTCCAGGACGGCATCTGAAGAGGATAAGGACGGGCTTGGAAGAGGCGTAGTAGATGGCTTCTTTGTGCATGGTTGCTTGATTACTGTGAGACACACTAGAAAGGCTCAGCTGCCTCTTTCTAGGAAAAAAACCCTAGTATAATTCTTGGTCCCCAGACAGTCTTTACACTTATTTTAACCCATGCTCATATTTCTGTAGCAGTCTAATCTGAGCCTAGATCATTGCACATCCTTCCTTTGATACCACAACAATAACTGGATTTGTCCACAGTTTTAATTTGTAAGAGCAGTTAACATCATCTGAACCGAAGATGACATATCCCTTGAAGAAGTGGGTGTGTATTATGGTTTTGTGTGGGCAGACCCCAAAGCCCACATGCAAAGGCCTTCAAAACCTCTGATAACATTTCAACCTTCTCACCCTTTTTTTGTCCTCCTCTTCCCAGAAGAAGTATCTGCAGAGTTGATGACTTGGTTTTGATAGGATGAAGTGCTGCATTGGACTTTCTTGAAAGGATATAGTAAAGCCAGCTTTTAGATATTTCCCAGCAGCATGTTGGATCCAGCCCCAATCTCAAATGCTGTCAGTGATGGGTATGCCAGGGATGTTGGAGGTGATTAACTCTGAGATCTTTTCCATCCCATATATTTCTTTATGCATGACAAAGGGTATCTGAAAATGAGAGAGGCTAAGCTAAATAGTTGGTAAGATATCAAATAATCGATTTATCTATCTTACTCCTTCCATAGACTCTCTTATATGGGATGCATAGACTATTGGGGTTGTGTCCTCGTTTGAGGTAAAACAGAACCAATTTTCTGTTCAGTAATTTTACTTTGAAGTTAAGCCTCTTCTAACTAACTGAAGTCTCTGAAATTAACAGCATATTGTCCAGACACTGTTCACTCCCAGAGTGATAAGACCTGATTGTTTCTAATTTATGCCAAGAAACAGCATGCAGAGAGGCTCCTGCTTATCTTTATTGCTATAACAACCCAGGCCAGCTAACTTTGTTATTTGCCCCATTCGAGGGTCGGTAGTGGAAAAGCACAGTGGGGTCCCATCTGTGGGGAGGAGTGGACCGGACAGGTGACCCAAAACTGACCAACAGGGTATTCCATCCCATCTGCCTCATGCTCAGTGTAAAAGCTGAGGGATCAAAGGGTCAGATCTTGCTCTCTTTCTTCAATGGCCAGTGTCCTAGGAGGACTCTGTCCATTTGTCTGCCCTTGATCCTGATCCATGTGTCCCTGAATCCAGATCTGGAATCCAGTTCTTGTCCAGAGCTGAGTCCAGTCTGGGACTTTCCCAGTGCCCGCCAGCAACCTCATTGTCATCCTGGGAGTTTTGTATATATTTCATTATT